CTCCAAAACGGGGTGGGAGCTCCAAAATAGGGCGTGGCTTCCTCCCATTGGCAGACAGGCACATGACACTCATGCACATTTTTCCCCCCAATCCACTTCAGTGCAAACTCCCCCCACAGCTGATTCTAAAGATTTTATTGGTTGTGTCAATTAAAGTGTTGAATTCCTACACTAAACTACAAAAAATGCGAACCCCTAAACCTACCCCACCACCTGACCCTAACCTTAACCAGTGAGACTGACTGCACGGCGGGATTGGCGCTGCGTGGTAAAGAAAGATGCAGTTCCTGAGATAAACAGTTAAAAAGATTATGCGATATGAGATCGTTCCGTAACTCCCCAACCGGACCTCACCGGACAATGGCACCTTTTTAGTTGCACCCAGCGTCACTACCCCCTCCTACCCTGCGAATTTCGAGCGAACTAGAAACGATGTTTAACTTATAAAGTTTTATTTTGAAATGTAAGTCAGTAACAATTGGCTGAAGCCAGAGCCAATGATGAAAGTCTTTGCCTGAGGAGACCCCGCCCCATTTTGGAGGTTCTGCCCACTTTTGGAGTTCACGCCCCATTTTGGAGATCTCCGGTCTGCAGTTATACCTACTTGGAAAAGGCAGACTTTTGAAAACGTTTTAAAGTCTTTGAAATCAATTATTTGTTCAGTCTACATCGCCAACTACTGTGTTTTTAGTTGTTTTCAAAGATCATTTTGACAACGTGTACGTGAAACATTTCAAAAATGCAAAAAGTAAAAAAAACTATTTTTTTTTCGCCACAGAGCATGATGTTGAACTTTCAACAAGTTCTAAAAAACATTTGGATACTAGAATGAATTGTTTGACATCAATAAAGTAGATACGCTTATTATTTATTGATCAAGGCAAGACACTATAGGCAACACCATTGTTTTTTCACGCACTGGTCAATTTTCAGATTTTGGCCTATTTTGCTTCATAACTCGTGGAAAAACATCCAGAATACACATTTAAGAGTTATTTTATTACACTTTATCTATTTGCCTCTGTAGACGTCAATTACAGTCAGTGCTATTTTAGTTTCACTTAGGTACTATTATAGTTTTTATTAATATTCTGAATTAGGCTTGCCGCGATAGACGGTGCTGACGGTGATACCGTTGTTAAGCCGCAACACCGGTTACGTCACTTGCCCACCGTCGTTTTGATTTTTTTTATAGTAATAAAAATCATTTAGTTCAGTAAAAGAACAGACACTACAATTAAAAACTGAACACGGCTGCTCAATGCAGCGTGCCGAACGACAGTCGCATCACAGATCAGATTTCATTTCTCCAGTGAGGAGAGTGAGTCGAGCTGACTGACAAGAAGAGTGAGGTGAGACAGACAAGACGATCGCGGATGATTTAGTTTCGAAACGAAATGCAAAAGCGCCTGTTTGGCAATATTTTGGATTTTGAAAAGCCTGTTAACTTTTGCCGTTTATCTAAGGTGAGGTTTTTTTAAACATTAGTTTCTTATTTAACTGGTTCCACAGTGTTTGCTGATTTTTACTTTATTTAAACTTTGTGTAATTTATTTATTTTATTTGACATCGAGGTGTATGCCGTGCCTCCAAGCTTTCTTACTCGTTTTGCTAATAAACGTTCTACGTTTCTTATTTATTTGGTTATATATTATACATGTTTACTTATTTCCAGTTTTGTATACCTATTAAACTTTATGTAAGTTATTTTATATTAGGCATAGCCTGCCCTATAGCATGGTGTATTTTTATTTGTTTTGTTAATAAAAGTTCTATGTTTTATATATAGGCTAAAGTGAGTTTGACGTTGTATTTTGTTGTTGCATTCAAGCAACTGACGCCGAACTGCCGCTAATTCGAAAGTGAAAGTAAAATGCGCACACTGCTTTTGCAAGCTATTTTAAAGCAAAGGAAAGCGAGGAAAAGAGGAAACGCCCCTGCCCCCACGGTGATACCGGTATTACCAGTGTCATCACACGTCGATTAACCGGTGGGAAAATTTCCTCACCGTCACAACCCTAATTCTGAATTACTCTGTTTTTAAATTTTAAATTTTCATTTTTAGCAATTTTGTTGTGCATTTTTGTTGTTTTTAGTAATTTTTTCATGTGTCCATATCAATTTAATAAAAAATTTTTATTTCAGTTTTAGTTATTTTAGTACATCAATTTAAACTGAATTAAAATTTGAAAAGTTGCCCAACTAGTTTTAATTTATTTTATTTTACGTTTTTATATTTTATTTTATTTCAGTAAACATTTCAAGTAACGGAAATTTTATTTTTGTATGGTATTAGTTTTAATTAACTATAATGAATATTTTCTCAAATGTTTTCTGAAATCTCTTACACACACACACCAAACTTTACAGTTTATTTCTATCAACATTCTGAAGATTTTAACAGAAGGGTTTGTTTATATATCATTCGCATGATTTATATAACATTTTATTCCTAAAAACATGGTGCAAATGTATTTTTTTCTGGCTGTTGACAGTATTTTTTGATTTGACTCTAAAAACTTTTAACTCTAATATGTCAACAAAATTAAATAAGAATTTTGAACCTGGCTTCATCCAAGATTCAGATTTTTAGAATGTTTAGTTTTAGAATGTATGCAAATTAGTGCATATTTCAACGTAATATTTTAGAAAACTTGTAATGGAAAAACCGTTGTCTTAACATACTGTGATTAATGAACCGGGGAAAGTCTCTGTTAGTGAGATTTTTTTTTTTATCCTATTCACCTGTTATGTCTTGCCTTAAAAAAAAAAAAGGCTACAAAACAACAAGACAATAATTTTGTATATTTTTTCACACTGAAAATTCAGACGTAGTGTAAGCCTTAAACCCTCATATATATTCATGCTCTACAGAGTGATTTCATGTCAGCAGAGCTGTTCTCACCTCTTGTGCTGACAGAAAGTGAATATGCAACAGCTTTCGTTCGCTGTCAACCAGCGGCAGGAAAGTAACAGTGACATCATCGTCTGTGTTCAAGTTGGCGCCCGCGCCTCGATTATCGTAGCCATCGTTCTCCATGGCAACCAAGGCGGAAAAGTGTCCGCGCGTGTAACCCAGGGCGATAGGGCTCTTCCAGCAGAAACTCTGCTCCCATAATAGAGGCAGGTATACACCTAGAAGATAACAGCCAAAGCAAACAGTAATTACAGAAACTCTGTGTGACTGACCCCAAAAACCAACACCGTGTTTAAAGTCAGCAGAGTGTTGACAGAGAGTCATTATAGTAGCAATAACAGCCTGTCAGCGGCAGATATAATAGATCACACATTTCTTGGTCAACGTGGCCAAACAGCTCAGAGAATAATGCTAATGTGCTTACACTAATCATCACTGTGAATACTGATAAAATGAATATAATCGTCAGATGTGTGCAGTGACAAGCTCTTTATAATTAGATCAACTCATCGGCCAAGTCAATTATTCAGAAGAGATTTGGCCATTTGTTGACTTTTTAGAGGTAGATTTTTGGTAGCAGGCAACTGCACCTATTTTTGTGATTTACAGAAGTCTAAAACAGCCTTGTCAATGGATAATACATATTTTCTGTTTCTATATATATTTTTGAGTAAACATTCCTTGTATAAAAACCTCATGTATAAATATATATGAATATACTGTATAAATTATACATAAAATTTGAATTTATATACACACTACCCCTCAAAAGTTTGGGATTGGTAAGATTTTTATTTGATCAGCATTTATTTGATTAAAAAATACAGTAAAAACTGTAATATTGTATATTATTTCAATTTAAAAGAATTGTTTTCTATTCGAATATATTTTCAAATATAATTTATTCCTGTGATGTCAAAGCTGAATTTTTAGCATTATTAGTCCAGTCTTCAGTGTCACATGATCTTTCAGAAATCATTCTAATATGCTGGTTCTAATATACGAAATACGCCTCTCTCAAACACGTCGTTTTCAACAAAGCCCCTTCCTTTGACAAGCGCAGTCTGCTCTGATTGGCCAGCTGACCCAGTGCATTGTGATTGGCCGAACACCATAATCGCGAGCGTCAGCTTTCAAAGTAAATATCAAGACAGTTAATAATGTCGTTAGTTTTACCATCAGTTCAAGCCCGAAAGGGCAACAGAGTCGCGTGGCAGACACAGTGATGATGCAGTACACAAGCCGCGGTTAAGACAGCTGACGTGCTATGATTTCTGACCGGCTGTTCACTGCTGTGATGTGACCCTGTTCCCCTCTCACACACACACACACACACACACACACACACGACGTGTTACTCTGCGCTGCGCAAAACTCCGCATTTGAACACTCAATAGCAAATACTTCAACTAATAACAAAACATACTTACAGTCGCTGATTCAGAAGCGCCAGATTGTCATAGCAAAGTCGGAATTGACCCTTTTTTTT